GATTGTCCGTTGGTCGATTGGTCCTGTTCTTGTGATGTGTGGTTCCGGTCGACGAGGTGTGGAGGGGCTGAAATGGATGACTGCGACAGTTAACGGACCGCTTGACGATAACTGATAATGCTTGCTTAATTCCTCAGCAACACTCGGAGAACACGTGCGTATTTACGAACGGAATTTTGTATTGTGTATTAGGTACTGCGCATAATAAAACAAGCTGTACAATCAGGTCAGATAAAGTGGATAGAAAAGTAAGACACTACAAAGGCTCTGCAACCTGGGTGTAGGTGTAATCATGCTGAATTGGCCGCGAGACTTCTTCATCGACCGTAACTTCTGCGTCTGTGTTGGCAAATCGCTATCTGCGTGGTATTGCGCTCCCAGTGGGGTTCCCCAAGGCTCGTTTCTTGGTTCATTACTATTTGTGGTTTATGTGAACGATCTGCCCGGTCAACCATTCAATCCATCCCTCATGTATGCAGATGGTGTCAAAATGTGGTGTACAATCGAGGGTGCGAATGATCGAAATTCTCTTCAAGTTGATTTGAACAACCTGGCTCAGTTGGCGGACGCCTGGTTCTTCCACTGATCGCGCTCCTCGGGCTTTGAACGGGTCAACCACCAAATCTCAAAACGTTCAAAATAATACTCGACGTCGCGTGCACTGCAGTTAAGATCAAGGGATTCTAGTGGAGTAGAATTCATTGTTGAGTAAACCGGCCGCGATGCCAAATGTAGTATTGGGAATAGTATTCGAAATAGGGGTCCGGAATTCGCGCAATACCAATTCCTGAAATAGAACAACTTCGAATAGCACACGAACTTTATTGAATCGTATACTATGCATATTCAATGCATTCAAAGTGTACAGGGAATTTGGAGGTCAGTGTCACACATCACACTCGTCGCACCTTGAATTGACCACAGGACTTCTGTAATCCAGTCTGGGCTTTGCACTCAGTCGTTCAGACCTTCGTAGGACTCTTTCATTCAAATGTAATTCTTCCGTAGCGGCTTGTTGTTCAACATTCTGTTCATCAGTCGTATCAGGTTGCTCAGTATCTAAAGAAACATTATTAGACTCAAATTTTTCATCATAAATTGGGAGCTGACTGACTTGGATTGTTAAAGCAAATTTGATCCACATGGCTTCTGTGTATAGACAAATCATCCTTGTCAAGTAGTTGGAGCATTCTTCAACCTAAAGACTTTAGGACAATTCCTGAGGAGGGTCTTAGGTCATTACCACGGAAAAATACAACTTCAGAAAAATTAGTACACAATAAATTGGATCTCAGATTTCGACCTTTTGAAAGTTTAGCAGGTATCTCTTTAGTGGATGAATGAACAGAATTACGATATTGTAAAAGAAACAAATCAACACCTCTTTCAAGTTCAGAAAATGTGGATGGATTCAAAGCAGTAGTAGCGCTTTTAAGTGTTCTAACAAAATTCTCTGCTTGTCCATTAGAGCAAGGATGTCTAGAAGCAGTAAACAAATGTTTGCAGCCATTCTGAAACACTTTTCTTAGAGAAGTAACTGCCATTATCAGTAACAAGTACAGCAGGAATACCTTCCCGACTGAAAAGCATGAATAGTAAAGTCTGATGAAGGTGACCTAGTGAAAAATACCTCTGGCCACTTGGAGAAGGAATCAATGACAACAAGAGCATACATTCCATTGAGAAATGAACCACAATAATCCGCATGAACACGTTGCCACGCCTCAGTTGAAACATGCCACGGAACCCACTTGGATGGCAACTGTCGAACTTTGTGGTAGCATTTAAGGCAGCTCTTTGTTTTGGAACATATGTCGGCATCCATGTTCGGCCACCAACAAGTTAATCGAGCCAGTGACTTCATCTTCTCTATCCCAAGATGGCCGGAATGTAGGTCATCGAGTACTGCTTTACACAATGTCGGCAGAATCACAGCTCTGTCGTTCAAGCACAGTAATCCATCAGGCGTAATTGAAAGTTCATCACGTCTAGTATAGTGATTTGGAAATCGCTTCCGGGTCTGGGCGTTCCAACCCTTCTGCAAAGCAGTCATCACAGCAGAGAAATAACGACGTAAAGAATAAGTTCTTGGCGGCACAGGGAGAGGTTATCTTAGTAGTGAATCAGAAACGTCATCCGCGTCATAAGCGGGTAGCGATTGACGCGAAATGTAATTCACGTGTCGGATGTATTTGGCACTGCGATGTTCAATTGTGTAATCATATGCACTAAGTGCGATACTCCAACGCTGAACCATAGCTGCAGAGCTTCTGGAAAGGGATTTCCCAGGATCAAAAATGAATT